GCGCTTCTCAGCGCTGCCGGCTAAAAAGTAACACATTTTTTTTTCACAAAGAAATATGGGTTGTTTGTTTAAATATAGAATTTGTATTATATTCTTTCATAGTCTTCTCACTATTAAAGAACAGAAAAGTAATCAAATTAAATGAAAACATATATTACATCTTGAAAAAAAATTGTGAGCATTGGATCCAAGGCTTGGCTCTCATTGTGATCTAAACTATCTTTTATACCAAAACAAAGTTTCACCACGTATAGCTCTATCAATTCCTTCTTTCAATTCTTTATAATGATTTGGAAAGGAAGCTGAAGACTTCAAAGATTTGGGTAAGGGAAACTAAAAGAACAGTTATACTACACAAAGTTGATTCTGGAACTTTTCCACAAAATTTCCAGAACATTTTTCAGAAAGCCAGAATGCTTCTGCACCCTGGGCAAAAGGGCATTCAAACATGTACTGTTTTTCAAAAGTCCAGGAGTCCAGAACACAGTCAAATCTGTGTTCTGGGGCCGTTCTGGAAAATTTGTGGAAAAGTTCCAGAATCAACTTTGTGTAGGACAAGTGTTCAAAGAAAAATCCATCATCAAAGAATCAGCTCAAATGTCTAAAAAACAATCATGAAAGAGACTCGATTACAACCTTTTCGCAAATCCCTCCATCCTGGATAGATTTTATAGAATTTGCACTTTTAGTGATCCCATTCACTTGATCTTCAATAGTTGAATTCTGATTAGAATAAACTGAAGGATGTGAGAATAATCAATTGGCGAGTTTTAATGATCGATTGAATTGTAAGTTTGATTGTTTGATTCTCAATGGATCTGTAGGCCATGGATTTGAGATGGTTTTTAATTGAGAGTAAAGCTGTTTTAGTTGATTCAATTGACTGATGATGTAGTCTTGTTTGATCTTCAGAACTCTTGCGGTAGACTTGATGAGTGATTACTTCAATATCGTTGTTGTTTGTGAAAGTCTTTGAACTGTGGCTGAGTGGATTCAAAAGGTGATATTGAATCATGGTGGTGTCTGATTGAAATGGAAACGTCCATACATACATATGTAAAAGACTGAAATCAAAAATAGTAGCAAGGTAGCTGAGCCAGTGGCGAAAAGCGTACCGCCACAAATCCCGGTCGCAGAATGTCAGCGCAGGGCGTAACACCCCAATTCTGCAACTCCCGGGTAGTGGCGCGGCAAGCCAAACTTGGTGCAAAAGGAAGAATTCCTTAAGTAGAATTTCTTTTAAACAGACCAATAGATGCGCTTACCACGGCCTACTGTTAGTTAACAGTTGAAAAGCTGGTCTAGGCTAGGCCGGGGTTGGAGTTTTCCGAGAACCTTGAAGGTTTTCCAAAATGCCTGCGTAAAACAACAGGGATCTAGTCAATCTATACAATGCTAGAACAGAGGTTGTTAGACCAAGTTAAAACTACTAACCTAGAGGTTAGAGTAGCTCACCTAAGGAGAACGAATAAAAGAGCAGATTCTTATAGTGTTCAAATCTTAGGATTTCTAGAGGTGAGGAAAGATGAGGTGGAGATGTTTGATAACAGTGAGATCAAAGTAGCAAGGCTGATAGGTTTCTAAAGGTAGAAAGGTACAAGCCGGACTAACTGAGAGGATATCTTATTCCTGTGGGAATATTGGTTATCTAATTAATCGTCTGCCCCTTCTCCTTGGAGGCATAATCAAGTCCCTTTTATACTTGGTTCAAAGGGATGGCTGGTTTGTGGTTCCTGTTAGGTTTGTCCTTGGTTCCTTGCTTCTAGGATGTCTTTTGAGGTTCTAGTATTAGTGGCTGAGACTGGACTTGTTCTGTTTGTAGAGTCTTTGAGATGGGTCCGTTGTCTTCCTTCTGTTTTGGGAGAAGTTAGGCTTATTCTCCTTCTGATTTGATTTGTTTATAGGAGGCTCTGTTTATTAGTACATACCACATGTGGTTCCTTGTTGAATTGTTTACTCGATTGGGAGTGTTGAACTCCCCTTAGGGTTTGTTTATATTTTATTTGGCTTTTTGGCAGTTTTGCTGTCATGGGTATGGAGTCTTTGAAACTAGACAGAAGGTGATATTGGTACTTGAACCTTTTGGTTTGAAATTCGGAGTCTTTGAAACTAGACAAAAAGTTGATTAATTTTTTTGTATATTTATTAATAAAATATTAACGTAAGGAAGAAGGATAAAATGTATATTTATTATTTTTATGTTTTAATTATTTTATTTTAAATTGTAAACTATTCTGGCTATGCTTGTCAGCATAGCTTGGAGTTGACAAGCAATACCTGATACACATATAAAGCCCCCACCTCCTTCCTTAGATTGGGCAACGAGTGGGTAGGATACTATGTTGTTTGACAGACAGAAAGAGTAAGGTCGCGATTGGTAAACAACCCTGACGCTTCAAACACACTGACGCTTTACCATTCACCTTAGATTGGGGATGTGTTTATGCTGATGGAAGTTGAACTGTCACTGAATAATCTCTTCATTGCTCATTCTAAAGAAAGAACAGAGTCAAGATTGGTAAACAATCAAAGACAGATCATACACCTGGCAGTGTCACTGATAGTTCTCAACCTTGACAGAATGGAGGAAAAAACAAAAAACAATATGTCTTTTGAAAAAAAAAGTTATTCAAAAAAAAGAAAGAGTTATAAGAATGCAAAGGATTAAAAGACAAAACATATTCCAGGGATTGACTAGATGGCCGCTAGGTTTTAAGGTGTACTAGTTTCTACTTTTGATAACTTGTTTAGTTAGTGTAACTAGCAACTTAGCGGCGGGCGCCGCTTTAGCGGCTGATGCCGCCATGTCACATATAACCCAAACACATCAAAATTTTGAAAGCATGGCAAAAGCCCACCTTAACTAAGTCCCTCAATGCTGATACAGCTGTCAATAAATCTGCTGCCAACCCTCTTTTGCTTTTTGTGGCGGGATCCTTCAGGTATTGCTGGCGCAAACAAATTGTGTCAGGTTGAGGTTGTCAAGTGTGTTGCCCGCTGCTGGAGTGTTAGTACATCAATTCCGCACAATTACCTAATTTGGGTGGACAAATTTTGCTATGCATTTTGACGGGTTATGCAATTCTGTTATCAAATTTGACAGTAAAAAGTATCAAGATTCAGCATTTTTTCTATGCATTACCACGGGTTACACAGGGGTACACAGCTGTGTGGGTATGCATTTGCACGGGTTTGGATGACACTCTTCAAAAGCATTCCTTTTGAGAAAATCAAAGATAACAGGAATCTGATGAACTTTTTTCAAAATCTTGAGCTGAGCATTTACTCTGGATAGCTTCTTCTAATTACAAGATTATCAAGCCTTCAATGATGATGTTCATTCCAACAACTTATTTTCAAATTGGGCCAGTAGAGTCAAACTCAAAGAATTAGATGTATATGAGTTGCCCTGTGACATGAGTAGTGTTCTTTGAAATCAATCCTTTTTTGTCAAACTCATCTTCAATTTTCATAGGTAGAACTGAATCTTTGTAAACATTACATAATACTTAATGAACTTTTGTTCAAGTGTATTTTTGTTTAGAGACTGACCAACAGATGAGTAAAGAGAGTGTAGTGGCTCAAAGGTTGAGGTAACATATGAAGTAAGTACCTTGAACACACCAGAATTTGGCTTCCAGACCAAACCAAAATTGTTGACCAGATTTCCGTTTGGGTACGTTGAGTTGATTTCCGTCATCTTTGAAAGAAGAACAAACAGATCTCAGCTTTAGACTTATACATTCATTTTCTTAGCATTGAAGGGCTTTGTGTATGTTTTATCTAGACTCTCTTCACCTAATCATTGACTATTAGTGCAAATCTTGCAATAAGTTGCAATATGATCTCAGCAAAGAGATATGAAAAATTGGCATAATTAGCCAGAGGCTCCAAGAAAATCAAAGAGTTCTTCATTAGGATCCCAAAACTCATGTTCTTGATTTGAATGACAGTCATTGAGCAAGTTCAATGAGCTTTGTACCTGAGTTTGATTGTGATGATGGTTTAAAGAGGTTGTTCTTCTTCCTGTTGCTGTGGGTCTGAGAGGTAATGATATAGTCAAAGTCTCAGACTTGAAGAAAAAACAAAAGATGACCAGTTCATAACTGAGTATCAGATGGGCAATGTTTGGGATCACAAACAAAGCTGATCTGTTCAAGATTGCTTGGTCTGATGGTAGCCTTCCTGGTCTTTTAGTTTTATCTAGCTCCTTTAGAGAATATTGGCTGAAATTAGCCATTGAAAAAAGAAAAATGGATATTGAAAACTCAATATCATAAGCAGCAGAATAAGTGCGATTCTGATAAAGAAATTATGCTGGTGCTAGTGAAGCATGAAGATGTATGGAAGAACTTCAATTGCTACAAAAGAAAAGGAAGTCAAACTCAAACTCAAACTCAGAGCCGGATAAATGGGTCAAGATTAACAGTCAGCCCATATCAAAGCGTCTCCTCCACTGGTTTGCAGATTGAATAGTCTCATGATGATGATCATATTTGTACCAGAAATGAACCAAATTAAAGGAACCATCAGTGGTTATTGGACAAACACATTTATTGGAAACAACAGATACTCGATGTAAGCTTTTTGTGAGTTGATCAAGGTGAGGAGTTGAAGACAAAGAGTGACTGTCTTCTGTAGCATGTGATGTCTGTGAACTACAAAAGACTTTTAAGAGTTGATTGAATCCTAGGGTTGAAATGTTGAGACTTAGTCAATAAATCATGAAATAATCAATAAATCGTGAAATCCAATAGTTACTAATTTCATTATTGTTATTATGATCAAGTGATCTGATATCAAATGTGTTATAGTTTTTTATATACTCAAAATAAAGTTGAGCTCATAAGTTGATTCTCCTAAGTACTTTGTTTATATCTTGTTAAAACTCATCTGTTTCCACTATCAATCAACCAATCTAGTGAACCATTTGAAAAATGATTGATAGGATCAAAAGCAATGTCAGCTATGGTGTTTTCAATGAATTTTAAGCAATATTTTCATGACCATAGATCAAAGAAACCAACTCTGATCAAGGCTAGTTTAAGATTACTGTGAGATCCTAAATCTTCATCTTTCTTTGATCCTGGCGTGCAAGCTATTGATATCAATGATGCCCAAAAATAATAATCAATTCAAGAGTTGAGTTTTTCTTGATCAATTGATTTTCAATTTGAGTACAAATAGATCCCCTGCAGTCTTCAAACGGACTGTGACCGCCATTGACAGCACCACCCTCTTCCACAATGTATTGGATTAAACCTTTATGTTCTTCAGAGAGCAGACCACCAATTGATCTGATACTTACCACATCATGTGTGTACCACAATGTAGAGGCAGAAAATCTAAAGAAATAAACCAAAAGGTCTCCAACGTTTTCTAGATTGGCACCAGTCTAATAGCAAGGTTCGGCATCAAGACTATCAAAGAAAAAAACATAATGTCCATCATGTATCAGTTCTTTGGGGTGATGGCAATTGCTGAAGATTTACATTTTGAAAGCAGCATGGAAGTAAGAATACAGGGTGTTCCAAGGGAACATATGTGTAGATATGAGGACGTACGGTGATACACCATCCTTGAGACCATTGACAAAGTAATAAATTACTAATAGTACATAGCCATACAAACTGATTGTATCAATATAAGGATTGTTGCTCTTTTTTGTCCAAATTTTCACTAAGAGGGAATGAAGAATCAGTGTTTAAGACAACAATATCTCAAATGGGCCAAATTACGTACAAATCAAGATAATAGTTCTCATCCATGGCTCAACCATAGCGTCAGTGAGTCGCAAACAAGTTTTCAAGCGCCAATCGGCCCTCAAAACCAATATCACATGATAATCCAAAGGGTTGGCCAGCCAAAGGAGGTAATGATAGTTTGATGATTGGGATTTGTGTTTTAGGTAGTCTGAAACCGGAGTTTGAGATATCAAAAATGAGTTCAGTTTTTTAAAGTGTGGATTGCACAGATGATGAGAAATTAGTTTTACCTTCTTGAATCAGTTTACCAAGGATGAGGACCGTTTCTGCAGGAGTTTGCTCAACAGGCTTTGTAATGTGTTTTGGTTCTTGAGGGTCAGAGTGAGTAGACTGCTCTTCAGCATTTTGTGCTAGTCATGGGGAGGTGGATTGCTGATAGGTTTAGATAAATGTTTACTTTGTTGATAAATCCCATCAACTGTAAATCAACCCAAAAAGTCAAACAAAATCCATCAATTGCTCATTGGATAAAATAGACACAAAAAGGAAGCAAAGATAACAAACTTTGATTATAAACACAACCACATTATATCTTAGCTTTATCGTAATCAGCAGGCGATTCAACTTTTAATAGGATTGGGTCTTTGAATTAAGCTTTACATAAATTTTCATGTTGTTGTGCGTATGACCAAAAATGTAATGAATCTTCTGCACTTTCTGTTTGTGAGTAAATATAAAACCACAAATGTTAAAAGTTTAGTTTCAGTTTTCAATTATTCAATTTAATTGAATGTGATTTGTTTGATTCGAGTTCAATTTGTTTTGTTTGTGATCTTGAAGACAAATGAAGATAATTTGATCAGGTTCAAGTTTTCAATTTGAAGAGATCATAGGTTCAGAAAGATTCAGTTGAGGTGAATTCGATTCAATCGGTGGTTGATGATGATGTTGAACTCTCCAAGCTTCAACCCTAGGAGTATCTCAAGAGACCTTCAACACTCAAATCCACTGTTTTCACTTCTCCCAACGGCTGTGCTGCCATCAAGATCTTCCCTTCAGGTGTTCCAATTGAATTAGGATTAGGTGAAGGTTTAGCCGAATGATATGGATCTACAAACCACAATTTTCTTGCCATCTTACTATGATTATAAACCAAAAAGTTTTCTTCCATCACTCTAACATCGGCTGATAGATTATCTATTTGTATTGAAATGCGGATTTCGTTTCTTCGCTTTCAATGGATTATCTTCTAATAAAAGTTATTCAAGTTCATGTGTTGCATCAAAGTTTGCTATTTAGGATCAGGTTCAAAAGGTGGAGTTGCTTGAAGTGAATTAATCCCATCCCAATCTAATCCTCTAAACCAATTGTGTGATTTAAACTTTTCGATACCTCCATCTCTTACATCCTAATCATTGATAAATATCTCTTACCAAAACCTTTTTAAAGAAATTCAACGCTTCAGGTCCAATCACTTGAGGTAAAGTTTCTGGAAATCTGGATTCTTCTCTTGAAATCGCAGTGGTCAAGGTTGAATTGGTTTTAACTCTGAACAGTCGTTTACCAAACACAAGTTCAAAGGTCACCACTCCAAGTGACCACCAATCTATGGTAGAGGTATAACCACGTTTACCTAAGATTTCGGAAAAATACATTATATTCGCAGTGTGCTGAGGTCAGTGGACATCATTCAGATAAATGGACAGCGATATTGAAATCAGTTTAAGTTAGATGTGCATGACCCCGTTTGTCAAGAAGAATGTTATTGAGTTTAAGATCACGATGTACGATCCCCTTCAAATGTAAATAACCAAGAGCAAGTACCATTTCACAAACATAAAACTTGACCACCTCTTCTTTCAAAAACCCAGCACGATCTAAATTCAATTTGAATCGCCACCTAGCATAAGATCCGAGACCGAGATTATCATCATCTTGAAATGCATAAGCTAGATTACAAACAAAAGGTGGATGAATCTCTTCTAACAATCTACGTTCTTGGATGATATCAGAAACCGCTTGTTGTGAAACGATTCATTGTTTGTTTATATATACTAAGCCATATAATGCTTTGGTTTGTTCATGTTGAACAACTTGAACTTCTCCAAATGCACCTTTTCCAACCGACCTCAAAAGGTAAAAATGCCAAAGATCCACCGGACCACCAAAATCGATTTCCTCCGGTTTAGAACAAAATGCACCCATTTCATCTGTTGATTCAATTTAAGTTTGATAAGACTTGAACTTGATCGAGATGACCAGGCGGGTTTGAGCCCAAAAGTGACAAATTAATTGACTTGAGAGATCCACTTGAATGAATAAACAACAATTGGCAATTTGTAAATTCCGAGATCATTGAGAGATTGAGGATGTTTGATTTTGAAAGTAAAAGGTGTTATGGCCTGAGGTAAAGGGATGTCAAGTTGAGAAGGTCTAGATTCAAGAGTAGATAAAGTTGAGATCGTTTAACCAAGTTTTGGGTCCGAGGTAATCGTACGTGGTGCTTGTCAGGCAGAAGAAAAATTACAAAGGCAATGTTTGAGGTAAAAGAAATGGTATATTTTTATTATGAGTCTTAATTCCAAAGGCGAGTGGCATGATCCGTGATAATTGGGATCGCAGTGATAGATACCAGAAAAGAAAAATCACTAACCTGGGTATGTCATCCTTTTGCACTTTTTTTCGCCTCTTCTGGAACTGGCTCCAATTGAATCAGAGTCAAGATCGTAGAAAAGATGTGTATGTGCGTGCTTTGACTTGATGATTCCTGATGATGATATGTACTTTTTGAATGATGATGGTATGTCAACATAGCACAGAGAATCTTGATCCCCGTGACAGTGGTAGGATGAACTTTTATCATCAATCAAAAGACACCAAATCTCACAAGAGTCTGTGGTTTGGGAGACGGAGAGATGTACGCGGGATTGGGATTAGCAAAGATGATGGAGAATGCAGATTAATTTGCAGTGAAAGAGTTTCTGACCATCGACAAAACTCAAAAATCGCGCTAATGGTGGATTTTGTTGAGTTTTGTAAGCGAAGTGGCTTTGGGATTAAATGTTATGAATGATAGGTGGTGTGATATTGGTCTCACAAATTGACTTCAGATTCTGAGCTGAATTAGTCAAGTTTGGCCTTGAGATTGGGAATGGAGCTCAGGTTGAGCTTCCTAAGAAAGAAGAAGCAAAATGATGAGTTTACATATTGGATTTTCATCTTGAACATAATGTTGTTCATCTTCTGGGATTCAATACAAATATATTACACCACCTAAAGAAGTGATTTTAGTGTTTTCAAGAGATTTTTTTGTGCAGACAAAGAATGAAATGAATATGTAGGTAAGGTGAACTGCTTTGATACCCAAATGAAGTTTAGGATTAGCCTTTGTGATTAGAAAATGAGAATTCAATGTTGAGTTTAGAGAAGAAAAAAAGGTTTACTTGCCTGGAGTTGGTGTTGATGTATCCAATTTATCAGAGACTGCTTCTGGTTTACAAATTCTAGGAGGTGAGCTGAGATGATTAAGTGAAGAATGTGTCAGTTAACTGGTGGGTTGACATGATGAGTTTGATGATCATGATGAATTGAGAGATGAAGTAGGCAAACAATCGATCTCTTTTGAATGCTATTGAGTATATTGTCAGAGTTGGAGCATATGATTGAGATGGTTCGGCTTTAACTGAGATTGATTCTTGACCATCGAGTTCTTCAGATTCAGTCTTTGTTTCTTCTTCTCAGTGACGTTCTTCTCAATGACATTTTTCTTGTTGAATTTCATTTTCTACTCCTTATTCTCGACTCGTCTTTTCTTTTGATTGAAGTCTTGACTGTTATCTCCGTTTGATTGGTATTGAAGTCGATCTAGTTGATTTGCTTCTTGACTGTAAGATATTGACCAGTATCATTGATTGGATGGTGTTAGGTTGGCAGTGATGGTAGATTTAATACTTTGGTCCCTTCTGAACTTTGATTGATGTGAATCAAATCCAACTGTACTTCCCAATCGATGATGATTTGCCGATTTTGATGATCTCGATATTCAATTATGAAAGAATTGGAATCCTTGATTGCAAAAAATTGATATAACATTAAAAGGCAAATCTACTTTGTCAATTGAAGCAAGGAATCCGGGTTTTATGATGATGCTTCAATAAATTGAACAAAACACAATCATTTGAAGATAAAAGTGATTATGAGACGCTGAAAAAAGTCTTCCACCACATTTGTCTCCTTGGGCATAACCTGTACATTGATATCCTATCCCATGTGACTGATCTCCACAACCACTACTATGATCATCTTGATGTTTGTGACCTGATCCATCTTCATTATGTCTCAATCTGCCTCGATTCCCTTGGCCATCATTTAAAAATTGATCTTCTGAATTGATTTCTAATTTAAAAATAAACCAATTGACTTCTTTTAGAAAAAAAGTATCATAGCATCAGAAATGAACTCCATACCCAATTATATTTTTCAAGAGAATCGAAAAAAGGGAAACAAATATTAAAGAAAGTTGATAAATCAAAAAAACTAACCTGTTTGAAGCTTTCTGAAACAGTTTTAGCCAACTTTGCTTTTTTCCTTTCAAATTGGTTTTCTTTTTCATTTCCAAAACAAAATCCTTTTAAAGATCCAATTATAAGTTCAATACTCAAATCAAGTACATCACCAAATCGACTAAAGTTTGTCAAAATTAAATTCAAATGTTCAAATTCAATTATACCACTACGTATTGATTTTGTAAAAGTCATGATTAATAATTCAAATTCTTCTTGATAAATTCAATTTTGATGTGATGATTGATTAATGTTTTAGAGAAATTGATTGAGTTTTTTTAAAGTTGTTCTTGGTGGTGAGTTTCAGTCTTGATGATTTATTGATTCTTGAGTTAATGATTGGTCATCAGATTCAGGTCAAGGCCATGAAGAGAGGAGGTGGGGTCGGGGACAGCTGAGCCTAAAGGGGCCGGAGTCTTAGGTGTACAGCTTGTTAAGGGCTTAGGGGTTTAATCCAGTTTTGCCGAGAAACTGGGTTGTGCCTTTAGTGTTATGATATGCAATAATGCACCTTAGCACTTTTTAAAAAAATGAATCTATCTCTTAAAGAAACACTGTACTTCAGAACTCAAGGAGACAAACTATCCTGATGAAGTCAAGAAATCTGTGGTGGAAATTTAATTTGACCAGAAAATTCAAAAATCTCAAGACAAATTTCCTAAAACTTTGGGGCTTCCACTTGGCACGATATTGTGGTGGCAAACAAAATTAATGCTAAAGAAAAACATAGCACTGCCATCAGATGGACTTGCTCTACATCCTGATATATAGAAAACATATATCAACAAAGGGTCATCAAACAATTGACCAGGGATACAAGGGAGGAAATGAGGCAAGGTTCAGATGCATGATCATATCCACCGCAACACACATTGAAATTACACTCTACTGTGTATCTATCTGTTTCTCCAGGGAAGATTGATAGATTAGCAGGAACCTAGTATCCAGCCTGTGAACAATATCAGATTGGTCATAGAACTCGCCATATTTGGTGTACTACTTTCCTTGCAAAAAAAAATGCAAGAGAGAAATCCTATCAAATCATAAGATCAACCATTTTGGTTTCTTGCCTGACACTCAACTTAATACTCAAAGTGTCAATCACACATTCAGAAAATTCCCATCAATCTTTTAAAAAATTCTTTTTCGATATCAAATATCTCTCCTTATCTCATCCTTCTCCGATTATCTTCATTCTTTTTAGTTATCATGTACAACCACTGCTCCAACAAACGGGTTACCCTGAAAACACGAATTTTGCTTAAGATTTGGTCATTAGTATATAACATGAAATGGATGTATTAATTAAGTTTCATAGAAGTGTGATCGAAATAAACATCTAATACTCTTGAGATCCACACAAAGAGATGTGATAAAGAAGACCTTCAAAAAGAACTGATGAGTATACCATAAATAACCAAGTGAATGTTAATGTAGATTTTATATAATTGATGAGAAAGTTAAGACATTCGTGTTTAACGATTTCTAATCATCTAGTCGGATTCCACGTTGCCTTAGATCGGATTTGGCCATCGCTATATCCTATAATCCAAAAAAAAGTTTCAGATCTTAATGTAAGAAATCAATGTGAATCTTAAACATCAATGACTTACTTGTACTAGTTCTTCGTAAGCTTGACTACAATCCGTTACCGTTAAAAGTCCAATCCCAAGTACGGCTAAGCAATAAGCTCCAAGAGTAATTAAGAACCACCAAGGAGTCTTCAAAAAAAAAATCCAAAAAAAAAGTAACCCAAAATTAATTTCGACTTTAAACAGTTTCACTTTATTCATTCTTTAAAAGAGTTTATAAACTACTGAACGAGTGGAATGATTTTGACTTGAATCGATTTAGGTACGAGTGGTATTGAAATCGTTTCAGTACGTAAGAGTACATAGAAGAAACAGGCGATGATTCCATTACGAAGAAGTCGTCCAGCACGTGTCATTCGTCCAGTATTCTTCTTCATAGAGTTGAACTAGTTGATGATGATGAGGTGTGTCCTTTGATGAAGAGGTAGGAGGTGTTAGTGTTACGCGACCAATGTTGATACAACTTATTTGATGATCTCAATTTGCCCCTTCCTTTTGCCCTTCTCGACGTAAGATGACATGACAATGACAACAAACCAAAGTGATCGAATATTAAAAATTACCACTTGGGCTTTAAGGTGTAATGATCACTTAAGCTATGTACTTAATGACTTAAGAAACCGGCAATGTAAATTCAATGATGTCATTTCAATCTGCGGGGCTAGATTGATTTTGCACAGCCTTTGTGAATGGCAAACAGGTTATAAAGACTCACTCATTCCATCTCCATTTCGTGTGGTTCCCTTCATCATCTTACTATCCTCTCCATCATCATCATCATCTAAAAACTACAGTTTATTCATCCTATTAACTTCTATAACAATGGTCTATCAATGGTCTGTTGATCAACTATTCTTCCCATTCCATGATCCATTTTAATTTTTTATCAAGAGTCTAAGTTTTTGATTTTTGATTTTTGATCGAGTTAATAGGGAAGCCTGGACTCAGTACGGCACTGATGCTGTAGTCGACTATGAAGGTCACCTTTACAAAATCATTCAACCTCATCGTTCTGAGCCTAATTGGCAACCTACCGTGACACCAGCACTCTGGGCCAGATTACCAGAAGAGGCTCATGGTGAATATCGATCGGGTGAAAAGCATCATGGAGTCGAAGAACATCATCGTCAAGGTCAAAGTTTCGTTGATCAATCTGGTGGCCCCTCTGGTGGTTATGAAGACAGACCACAACCTGGTAAGCCTTTTGATTTTCGTGTCCTAAATCTATTTCGAGTATGATCGAGTATGATCGAGTAGTGGATATTAATTAATGAATGAATGTGCTCTTTGTTTCTGTGTCACAGGTGGCTGGGGTCATGACGAACACAAGGACGAACGCTACAATGAGCAAAACAATGAGCAAAAGGAACATGATTGGTTGGATGAGAAAAAGAAACATCAAATGGAGATTGGTGGCGGGATTTTAGGTGCACTAGGTAAGGATAATCTGATGTGCTTCTTGAGTCTAACAGGATGATCTCACTAACACGATCACTGAATGTCTTTGTCCAACTTAGCCATCGGAGGAGGAGTTTACGCCTACAGCCAACATAAGAGCAAGGCTAAAGAAGAGGCCAAAAAACAAGCCTGGCAGAACGAGGCCAGTCAGGAGAAATGGCTCCAGGGTGCCAATGCCCATAGCGACCATTAGTGCGTACCCAGCTATTCACTTGGATTCCGACCATTATGCTCACTTCCTGCTCTTGAAATTCTTCCGTGGGATGGTTCTTAGTCGACGTGGTGGCCAAAGTCCGCCTGTTTACTGGCTCTTGGTTGATAGGCAAGAACCGATTCCAAACAACGCCATTGAAGGTGGTCGCGAAGCAGGTCATCCACTTTACATTGGCCGTGTGTATTACAAATCAGGTCTTCACGTCGGTAAAGTGTCTCAAAGATTAGGAGGCTGTGTTATTGGTTGGGGAGGTAAAGAGCACAATGACTTTGACAAGTTTGAGGTTTGTTTACGTTTTTTATCATTAGTTTACGGATATCTAGGACTGACTATTTGATTTCGTTGTCAATAGGTTTTAGTGGGTGACAGACACGGTGTTAAGTGGGTCAACCACACTGAACACTCTGGTAACATTCAAGTTCAAGGATGGCAACCTGTCGAAGGAGGTAAAGAATCAGATGGAAGGTTGGTCTTATTCAACTTTTGTCACCTTACTTCCTTACTCTTGACTTTGTGGTGACTGATGAATAAAACGTTCTAGGTTTCTTTTTGTTTGTCAAGTAAAACATGAAGGAGGTGTACATCCTGCTAAAGCGCAAGATGGTACAGACTTTTGTATCTTTACCTATGGAGGTAAGCCAGATCCGAATTTGAGACCTCTAAATCACTGAGATCCCACATCTGATCGAAAGCAACTGCATATGATTTACTCCTAATTAGGCAAGGAAGAAACCAAGAAAGAATTCAATATTCTTGCATACGCCTAAAATATCAAACGATATGAAGAAGTTTGTCAAACTCAAGATCCCAAAAGAAAACGAAAAAACTTACTAGACGAAGAGGTCGGTGAGGTATCTCAGAAAGAAGATTTTGCTCAATTTAAGAGTCGTAGTTAGCAGATTGTAAACCAGAATTGCCTATATTTTTCAGATGTGTAACTCTGCTCAGTAGTTTCTATGTAGCAGTTCGTATGCAATGCATTGTCATTGTGGTCATCTCACCTATCCATTGAATAGTGCTAGCTGTGTCCTGAGAATCGGATCAAGAAGTGAATCTTTGAGATTTTATTGAAATGAGATGTGTTCAACGTTCACATAAAAGGCGATAAACTAAGGCATGATTATTTTCCGAATAAATTTCTCAAGTTCTGTTTTAATCATTTGATTATTACAATTTATTGTATTGCAAATGAGTCATGAAAGAGAATTGACAAACAAGAATTTTAATAATTAAAAATGGATCCCGGTATCCCCACCACCCCCCCTTGGTAGCCCCACCACCCCCTCCCTTTCACAGCTAGTGAAAGCCTTACTTACCAGTGACACAAGCTGTGACAATTGTCCAGCCACACTGAAAGGTCCCTGGATTTTGTTTTCTCAAGTTTGCTCACCAAAGATCCTCTTGGCTCAGCGATTCCATCATTCAATTAGAATCAAGTATTGAATATGAATAACTGGATGACTTGAATCAATATTACTCCGACCAATTGAAAAAGACGACCAATTGAAAACCAAGATTGAAGATCAGTGAGTCAGACCAATTCAAAATCGATGTACCAGAACGATCGATTTTTTTAGAGTGTCATCAACTGTGCCAGCTAAAAAGAGCTATCAGAGACAAAGGACAGAAAGTTGTAAACAAAGTTAAAAGAATCCTACTGAAGTAAGAGGCCCGAACTCAAGTGATACATTTGAAGACCCACAGCATGATGCAAATCTTAAAAATCTTCATATGCACGACCAATCCAAGACCAAGGAAATTAGTAACCCAAACTAGTAGTCGCATCAAATTCTCTAGAAGTTGGTATCAAATTTTTTGATTCATGAGGAGGTAGTGAACCAGTAGAAGCTAAATGCTTTTGGGAAGGTTGATTAGCTGATGTGTGCTTTAAAATTGTTTTAAGTGCTATTTATACCGAGCAAACTTGAGAAAACAAAATCCAGGGACCTTTCAGTGTGGCTGGACAATTGTCACAGCTTGTGTCACTGGTAAGTAAGGCTTTCACTAGCTGTGAAAGGGAGGGGGTGGTGGGGCTACCAAGGGGGGGTGGTGGGGATACCGGGATCCTCAAAAATAAAACATTTTATTACTTTTTTCTTTTAACTTTTCTCAAATTTTGTTCTATTCATATATATACGTAATAAAACATCACCACATGGAAAACAAAACCAGTAACAAGAGACAGAAGAAAAACAAACAAAACCAGAAACCAAAAAACCAAAACCAAAACCAAAAAACCAATATTGGAAAACCAATTCTTAAAAAATCCAAAAAAAGATCAAAATCAAAATCGAAAAAAGAAGTTTTAACTGCTGTTGCAACAGATACAAAAGAGATCAAGATATAGAGAGAAATTTAACACATAAAGAGAAAGAAAGAAGAAAGAAAAGAAAGATCCATCCGTCCATGCATCTATCCGTCCATCCATAAGAAGAAGTAGAAAAAATGTAGAAAAACCAAAGTCTAAAATTCCAGACGGTTAAAGAAAAGAAAGAAAAAACGGTTTAAAACAATGAAATACTAAAGAGAAAAGAGTAAAAGAGTAAAAGAAATCTGCTTTTGAAGAATAAAGACTAGAAAAAAGAGGATATAAAAAAGAAAAAAAAAGAAGAGTCTATATATATATAAAACCAAAAACCAAAAAACGTATCCACATTCATAAGAATTCACCTGCCTCTCCCCCCAAAAAAATAAAAACAAAACGAGTTCTATGTAGATATATAAATTTATCTTATCTATCATAATATTAATCCCAAATCTTTTCATCACTTTCATTTTTATCATTTTTATCATCATCTTTGTTATGATCCACATCATCTTCCACATCCACATCATCCACAATCAACTGTTCGATTTGTTTGGTAATCGGATGAATCAAAACCTCAGATTCATCAGGTTCAAGTCGACTTGGATGATCAAGTTTAATAAATTCTTTAGTAGAAGAACTCATCCAAACTTTCAAAGCTGATGGATTTGCCGATGATGATGATGATGATAATGATTCATGAGTCGTTCGTTTTTCCAAACTACTTAAATCAAAACTAGCTCGTCGATTACTTCCATCTTCTTTCATCAATTTCTTTTTCCATCTTTTTAATCCTTCATCACTTATTCCATTCTGATGATGATGATGATGATCAGTCGAAGTCACATTCGATTTCGATTTGATTTTTTCTTCTTCTTTATCATCAAATTGATTCAAAACGTTTTCTTCCATTTTCTTCTTCGAGTTTTTCATATCTAATTTGAAATCTTCTTCATGATTCTTTCCATTTTCTTCTGTTGTAAGTTCCCATTCTTTCTTCAAATTCATTCCTTCTTCATCTTTCCCAACATCAACATAATTACTAGTACTAGTACCAATCCCTAATCCATGTTGTGATTCTTGTGAATTGAAATGAGACGGTGAAACAAAAAATGAGGCTCTTCTATTTGAATTCACGCCTAATGGACTATACCCCCAATCAACATTTGATAATGGTGTTAAATGATCCGAAGGTTTTAATTCATCTACAGGTTCAAAAATTCCAGTCATCCTCCTTTTACCTAATCTATCGGGTGAAGTGGGTCGTGGTCCTTTCTCACTAGCTGCAAGACCTCGAGCTCGAGCTTTCACGTTTAAGTCAGTACTTAATGACGAATCTGGTTGATGATTATCAATTCCAATTGGGCTCTTGTAATCACCATCACCTGTGATTAGATCGGTAGAAGTAGACTGAGGTACATGAAGAACAGCAAGTCCGTTAACTTTTCCTCCACCCTCGTGAGACTCTGCACCTGTTGTACTCTGATTCTCGAATCCAGTCGGGGCAGTCTGATGAGAATACAAACCAACCTGAGTATTGGAGTTCATATGTTCCATCGGATGAGGAAACATAGGATTATATTCCATTGGAGAATGGCTGGAGTTTCGAAGATTCATCGGAGTAGGCGGATGAAGAACAGAAGTAGGGATTACCCCAAATGAATGAAATGGTCCATTATTTCGATTTTGAGGTCGACCTCGACTAGAAGCAGGAGGAGTAGAAGGTCCAATTCCAGGTGAGAAAAAGTTAGGTAATAGAGGTGGGGTAGCAGGAAAAGGTTGAAATGAAAAAGCTGGCATAGATGGTGTCATTTGAATTCCTCTTGGGATTGAAGGTGAAGCCATCCCTCCGGCCGCTAGATCATAAGGAGGTGGCATAGGAATCGAGTTGGGTCGGGTTGCATCAGCATTGGGATGTCCAATGGGTTGAACTGCTGGGATTTGTTGAGAGTCCTGATGGTCCTCTGGAGATGGATCTGTCTTCAAGAAGCTAGAGCGGCGAGATGCGATCGGACTCAATGGTAAACCAGGCGGCGCAATAGGACCTCGGTTATGGAAGCTAGAATTGGCTGAAACGTGATCGGGTGCCCAAAGATCAGGACCCGGCATCTGGGACTCAGGATGGAGGATGCTATTGTGTCCAAAGCTAGGGTCAGTAGAGAAAGGCCCATTGTCCAAATTAGGAGGTGGATAAAAGCCGACTGTCTATCATGAGAAGGGTCAATAAGAAAGAGAAAATCAATATGTTTATCAGCTCCTCGGCAATCACATTGCGTAAAATTTGAGTAGATGATCCCACGTACCTGTTGCTTTGATTGTGGTAAAGACGGAAACTGGTCTTGGAAGGAAGTAGGCGGGATATTCGGATTGTGGGGAGATGGAAGGTGTGATTCAAAGGCGTATGGGGAATTGTGCATCCTTTTCGAGTCCAAGGAAGCGGATGGAGGAGCATAATTATTGTAATTGTTATATCCACCCGCATTTTTGTATGGATGCGAAACTCCCGGCTGACGATGTGGGTCGGATGGATGCATTGATGAATAAAGGTAGGATGGATGTGGGGCGGCCTGTGAATGCGGAGAGTGATCGGCAGAAGCCGAACCGTTATTGACAGAAGGATGTGAAAATTTGTCAAAGTGAACCTTGAGGATCCGACCATTGAGTTCATGGCCATCATACATCCGTACTGCATTTTTGGCATCATCCATCGTGGCGAACAAGACTGTACCAAATCCACGACTGCGACCATCAATACCCATGGCTACATCAGCGCGCAAAATATTCCCAGCATTACGAAAAAGATCTTTAAGGTCCTGCCATTGACAATTGAACGGAAGATTGCCGACAAACAAGTGACGTGCAGCGGCATTGTTTCCTGTAGGAGTTTGAGGCCGTTTCTGTTCCGGCAAATTGAGACAAGGGATACAGGTCAGCTCAACTTGGCTACGGGTACACTTTGATATGAAAACATAAAGACCATACGAACTCCAGAGTTAGAGTTGGCAAGCCCACTTGAACCAGCTGACGACATGGGTGTAGAAGAACTTGAATAATAAGGGTAAACGATAGATGGTACCACTGGATTGGAGGAATGTTGGGAGTGAATGGAAGTAGGACGATCGTCATCGAGACCGGGCTCAGAGAAAGAGGTGGTAATATCATCTGAGTCCGTTTGAATTTTTGCCAATTCTTTTATGACTGTGTGTGCCCCTATGACCTGTGTCGGATTTTCGAGAGAGTGTGACAGAGGCTGGAAGGCTGGACGCATGGCATCTAAGACATGTTGAGCATGCGCTGAGACAGCTGAACTTCGACGAGGAGATGGTTGAGGAAGGCTAGAAGAGAGCTTGTTGGTATCATCAGATAGCCTAGCAGATGAAGATCGAATCAGGTCAGCACATGTGAGACTTTGTGTAGATTGATGTTGTTGGTGTGCCAAACGGATCCCGATCGAATCAGAGTTATTGAGGTTAGGCGGCTCAAGCGAGGGTGGTTGAAGCAGGTTTTCAGGAAAAGTTGGCTTCAATGACGATGTGGGGGCAGATCCATCTATACTTGTGGGGCGATCCAAGGGAGAAAGATTTGAAGAAATGTTCGGCTGAGGTACTTGAGATCCTGGAGGCCAGTTTGTCGTGGGAGGGAGAGGCCGACCTGGATTTTGTAAGGTAGGATGAGATGTCTGATTGGCGGGAGTCAGGGTATGAGGACCAATACGCTGGATGGCCTTTATAGGAACAGTTGATGAGGTCGAATTCATAGCCAAGGCTCCAGTGGGATCTTGTTGATCTAATCGAACGTCCAACGTCCTTGTCTGCCAACTGAAGCCATCTGTAGTCAAACCAAAGAATGGAATTCAATATAATGAGTTAAGCAGATGTGAAATGATAATGACGATGAAACACTAACTATAGATATCAATGGCCTTCAAGGCATCATAGCGATTCGCATACAGAACAGTACCATATCCCTTACTACGATTATCAGGAGTCAAACAAACGTCTGCTCGAAGGACAGTACCCGCTTTTCTAAAGAGATCTTTCAAATCTTGCCATCGTACACGAAAAGGTAAATTGCCAACAAAGAGTTGAGTGCGAGTGTCAGGACTATGAAGAGGAGGATGTAGATTGTTGTGATTCGATTGAAGTTGTTGATAATTATTGTAGGATTGATAATAAGGAGGTGGAGCGTTTGATGAACCCATGGATGAATTAGGAGAAGTTTCATTGAGATGAGTTGGTCTACCATTTGAGCTAGTTGGTCTTGAATCCAAGAATGATGATGAGATGTTTGAAGTGATAGCTGATTTGATTTGGGGTTGAGGCTGAATGAGATGATCGATTAAGTCATGATGAATCTGATGATGATTTGATGAATGATTTGGTGAATGATTTGATTGAATGAGGTTTATGTTTGATTTGATTGGAGATGCGGCTGATTTGATTAGATTATTGGAAGTTGGAGAAGTAGTAGAAGGAGAAGTCATGGATGAGGCTGAGGTTGAGGTTGAGAATGAAGTTTGAGGAAATAAGAAAAGAGGTAAATTGGTTTTCTAGATTGCGGTCATCAGAATTGTGGAGTGAACTGTTGACCACTTTGAATTTAAAAAAACAATTAAAAATTAAAATCCATCAATTTACATACAAACTAAACTACTACTCTAAAGCTTAAGTACATACTTTACGTCACTTCTCAATACAATTCTATCCACACTATTGTATACTGATTATGTCAATTCTCTTCTTTAGCTCTCATCTCTGCATATATTGATGGAATTCCACAGCAATGCTTTTACTCTGCATAAGCAATTGAATCCCACCTTTTTCATTGTGATTTGCTGCGTCAAGGGGTGGTAACATGAGATTGTGCAGAATCCATCAATCAACTTTACTAATGAGATCAAGAATGTGTGATCGAAATGGAAAAAATCTGGGGATCTTGATTGTATCCCATAAATAAAACCTTCCATTTAATTTTGTCTTTGTTATTCACAGCCTGTCAAAAGAAGATCAAGTCTGCCTCCAAAAATCAAAAATGTCATGTAGTCATCATTTTTGGATGTGACATACGACTGCAACTTCTCCTATGGTTGGTTTTCCTGTGAGTGGGATGTGGGATTGGCTTGTTACATTTTTTAAATAGTTTTAAGTTTTATCATGATTCATTTGAACAAAAACAAAAGAAAGTGTCTGATATTATGCTACAAAACATATAAAAGAATTAATTGTACAATAAATACAATTGAAACATCCAATAAGAAAACAAACAAACAAGAACAAATGATCCAATGCATAAGAAAACAATTTGGAAAATATCAATGAAAAAAAATGATCACAAAAATTTATGAACCACATATCTGAAATAAACACTCAAACCAACCAAGAATAGAATACAACAAAACCAGATAAAATACTACTTAATATATCCTTATGCTTTGATGTGGTGGATTTTGTTGTTGTTGTTGTTGATCCAGCCAAGGTCGAATTCCTTCACGACTGATCACTGTACTTCTTTGAACAGATCTCATAACTTGACTTCGATGTTGGTTTAGGTTTAGGTTTTGATGTCGATGTCGATATAAGTTTTGTTGAGCCAAGTAGATTTGAGAATTAAGTTGAGATTTCCTATTTTGTTCAAATGATATCAATATCAATGTAAGTGTTCGATGTGTGTGTACTTCACGTTTAAAGACGAGAATTATACCTTGAAACTTTGATTTTTCTAGAGGTTTTAAATCTATAATATACAAAACCTAAGACTCCCAAAATGATGATCACAAGTAAACTAACCGAACCAAGTACGATACCTACTTGTTTTGTTTTAGATTGGTTATTGGTTTGTCTATTCAAATCCGAATCAGATTCCAATACAATAATTTCAAATAACCAGTAACAAAACAAACAGTCAATTCAAGATAATTTATGTGATCCGAGAGAGAAAATCATCTTACCCTTCGGATTTGTTTGGCTTATCTGATGGTCGTGATGGTGATGGAACGATGCCAGCATTGGAAGAGTTTTGTAGAGGAGTAGATGAATTGGTGCTTGGTTTTACTGAGGATGAGCCTAGGGCGGGTCTTTGGCCTCTTGTCAACGGATATGCATGTTGTGGTGGCACTTCCCGGGTTTGAGATACAATTGGAAATCGGTCGTTGACAGGTGTTATCGATGATGATGATGATCCCGCTGGGGTCGGGGCGTTTGGTGAGTTTGATGATGATGACGATCCGACTGGCCAGGGGTTGGTGTAAGGTGTTGATGATGATGGCAAACCCACTGAAGACGAGGTATTTGTTGATGGTCTTGATAATTCCGATCCCGATGCAGATGAGGTAGTAGGAGTAGTTGTTGATGACAATGATTCTACTGACGATCGGTGGGTAGGGGGTGTTACTGACGATGGTATCCCCACTGGAGATGAGGTGGGTGAAGATGTTAATCCCAATGAAGGTGAGTGTGTAGGACGTCTTGTTGATGATGATTGCACTGGATGGGGGTCTGATTGTTCTGATCTCAATGCAGATCCGGTAGTGGGCGTCAGTGATGATGGTAGTTGCACTGAAGATGGGCCAGTGGAAGGTGTTGTTGATAACGTTGCTCCCAATGGAGATGCGGTAGCCGGAGGTATTGTTGATGATGATGATACCAGCGGAGAAGCCGCGGTAGGAGGCGTTGAAGATGATGATAATCCCACTGGAGATACGTCGGTGGATGGGGTTGTTGATGATAATGACCCTACCAGAGACGAGGTGTTCGAAGATGGTGGTGCCAATGGAGTAGAGGTAGTTGCAGATGTTGTTGTTGATTCGGCTCTCAATGGAGATAGGGTACTAGGAGGTTCTGATGATGACGGTTCCACCAGAGATGGATCCGCGGAAGGTGTTGGTGACGATATTCTCCCGACCGGAGACGAGGTAGTTGAAGATGCTGGTCCCGATGGAGATGAAACGGTATTGCGCGTTGAAGTTGATGAGGATTGCACTGGAGATATGTCTGTGGAAGGTGTTGATAATTGTGACGACCCTGCTTGAGACGCAGTATTCGAAGATGTTGATCCCAATTTAGATGAGGTATTAGGAGGTGTTGAAGGTAACAGGCCCACTGGAGGTGACGTAGGTGCAGGTACTGATCTCAATGAAGACGAGGTAGGTGAAGATACTGATCCCAATGGAGACGAGGTAGCTGTAGATGCTGTTCTCAATGGAGACGAGGTAGCTGCAGATGCTGATCTCAATGGAGACGAGGTAGGTGAAGATGCTGACCTCAATGGGGATGAGGTAGTTGAAGATGCTGATCTCAATGGAGACGAGGTAGGTGGAGATGCTTTTGATGATGCTGACCCCAAGATAGACGAGGCATTGGGAGGCGGTGGGAGTGATGGTGATTTCACTTGAGATGAGGTGGCACTAGTGGGACGTGTTGTTGGTGATGTCGAAGATGCCACTGGAGACGAGGTAGTCGAGGCTGTCCTTGATGACCCTGATCCCAATGAAGATGCGGTAGCAGGACGCGTTTTTGATGATGATGGCCGCGCTGGAGACGAGGTAATTGGAGCTGTCGTTGATGACCCTGATCCCAATCGAGATGAGGGAGGACGCGTTGGTGATAGTGATGACCCCGCTAAGGACGAGTTAATGGAAGATGCTGATCTCAATGGAAACGAAGTGTTTGGAGATGCTGTTGATAATTCTGATACCAATGGAGACGAGCGAGTAGGACGTGTTGGTGCTGTTAACCCCACCGGAAATAAGGTAGTAGTAGGCTTTGATGATGATGACGATGATTGAACTGGAGATGGGTCTTTGGAAGGTATTGAGGATTTTGATGTCACCACTGAAGAGGAGTTCCTTGAAGATGCCGATCTCCCTGGAGCCGAAGTAGTAGGTGACGTTGATGAAGAAGAAGATGAAGGATTGGCAAGAGGTGTTGATGTTAATTTCTCTGGAAGAGAGCCTGTTAATAAAGATGACAATAGTTCACCCGGAAGAGAACTTGGTGATAATATCCTGTCAAGGAAAGTAGTTAATGATGATTTCTTGTCAGGAGAAGAGCTTGATGATGATGTCAAATCCTCAAGAGGAAATGGTGATAACAAAGAAGAGCAGGGAGTATTAGGAAGAGGGCTGATTGTGAATGTTGGCTTCTCAGGGAGAAAGCTAGATGCCGTTGATGGATCTGTTGAATCAGTTGATGGATGATGTTTTTTAAGATTTTCATGACCAGGAATAGAACCAAACAAGTCAAGATTAGGGCGGATTGATGATGAGCTGTTGGAAGGAGAAGATCTATCCTTTGCTTCTTCTGAAACACTTGGTATTGAATCACCACTGAGGATATTAGGAGGTAGTGCAATTTTAATTTTTATGGGTGCAGTGTATTGACTTTGACGATGTGAGATCTTTTCAAAGATCAAAAATGACCGAGGGAAGAAATAGATAGGTTAGTTTCTATCAAGAATCTTTCCCTCGAATTGAGAAAGTTAGAAGATCGGAGCTTTCAAACACGTACCCATGGTTCACAACCTAGAGGAAAAATATCCGTTTTTGCAAGAACAAAAGTTGAGTGGAGACTCAAAAGAAAAGATAAAAAAATACTTAATTGAGAAGTTGAACGCATGAAGAAGATTTGCTGAATATCAATAGATACTGATAGACTTTGCAAAGGGTTCGGTGCATGAATTCAATGAAAATGAATGTACTATTTGCGGCCTTTATTCCATTCAGAATGGTTTGGCTTTCGGTCTGTAGGAAACAAACACCAATTTATTTATGTGGGGTATTGTAGAATTACTTATTTCTTCGGTTGGGTTAGGATTTGTGGTTGAAGCAAAAGATTAAATAAGTGAGTGACGAGGAACTTAGAAGTCAGTGATGTGATATGAAGGACAGATTGTGATTGCCTGATCGAACGAACTTTGATTGATATCAAAGATTTTACAAACTTCAGAAGAACATAAATCAATCTCAACTCCGGTAGCTGGTTAACAGGGTCCTCAGCATGCTGGCGTCATCTCCTTTTAACATTCTTAACTACCAGACAACTACTACAAGCCAATTTATGGATCTTCTCGAATACCCAGTCGTCATCATCAAGTCCCCGATACAAGTGATCATCTTAACTGTTCTCTAAGTACTGTCTTCGCTTTTATGGCTGGCATCTTTAACTCGGGGCGATAGCTTTGCAATTTATATCACACTTGAGTTTATGCCCACAGCTTGTATTGATAGCTTCACCTCATGATGTAAATCATTGGTAGAGGAAGAGCTAAGAACTAAGAGGCCATAAATGGAGGACAATAACAATTGAAAAGGGAGAGCGGAAGGCATGGAGATGAAACTCAAGGTGCGCATGAGATATGCATTTCCGGGACATTTGACTGAATGTCTTTGGAGGACAAGATGATGGATTCTGCGGCATTTGAAGCACGGGTGGATGTTGGTGGATGATAGACCCTTTGTCATCTTCTTTACTTCTCAGATCATCGAATATTCATGAAATTGGCGATCGAGAAAACACTTCTGCAACGAAGTTTGTTATTGTCCTGCTGATATTCATCAGTCCAACTCACATCGTCCGCTTTCTCATCCAGATGCACTTTGAACCTTTGTTGACCTACAGCAGCTACAGCGCTTTAAAATCGAATGCGATTCTTATACCACGCACATTTTCATCTTACTGTACTGCTTCAGCTCGTCGTATTGAATCTTTTTGTAAGATGTCCTTTTTCTCGGGATATATCAAATAGATTTGGAAATCAAATAGAGGTTGAATGACCTGCCTTGAAGGGTCTAGTTGTATATCGACTTCTTAATATGATTCGAGTCGACATGCCGGAAGCGTAAAGGAAACGACACCTATCACAAGTTCCACTTCTCGCCGATTCGTTTATCGGATGACATCCTCAATGGGGTATGATAATTTAGTTTAAGCTCCATTGACCTCGATGCACCCTTCATGTTTTCTGTTTGGGTATCTTGTGTGTAGCTTCAAAATCATTATTTTCATGTCGCCTTGACTTGAACATTAGAAAGGGCAGCCGAGCCAAAAAACTTCAAGGAACTCAGCGAGCACAATTGGCCTTGCCGACTGATGTGCCCTGTGAGGGACCGCGTCGAAAAGTCCGACCCGATGCGAGCTACACCGTCATCCATTATGTCATTCACAATCACAATGAAAAAAATCTTGTCAAACTCAAAGGTAAAACCAGCTAAGAAAAAAACCTAAAAAAACCTACCATTGTGTAGACTGTTTAACTAATTTTGATGATAAGCTTTTTATCAGAAGGAGTTTGAAAGACTTCAAGTTTCAAAAGTGATTTGAAAGCAGACTTCGATTTTTAGATTCTGAGGGTGTTTATGAGGATCATGAGCTTTGATGATAGAAACAATGAGCACTGGTGTTGATTAAGCCTACTCTTCTTGATTAAATATTTTGAGTCTTTGTGACCAACTTCAAAGATTTATGATTGAGAATCAAAGCAAATTGAAGAGATGTGGATTTGAATCAAGCCAATTTGATTTCTTCAAGCTGTCACCTCACCTATGTCACAAGTTGTTTTGAAAATCAATTTGCTCAGAATTTGCAGCAAGTTATAGCTTGATCATAATTCTTGAAATAAATCAAAACCAGTTCTTTACAAGTTTGTTTCTTATTAATTTTGTGATCCTAAAACCTTATCATCATAAATTTCTTGTATGTACTCCATCATCCTATAAGAAGACAATACTCCTGCTCACAGCAAAATAGAACCTCAACAAATGTCTAAAATACCCAAGATGACCAAGTCAATTATTTTTGAATTCTTAATTAGCAATACTCAAATTAGCTTGGGTGACCTTTTCTTTGATCAATTAACAAGTAAAGCCCACTCATTTTACTGGGTTTTTTTTGGGTTTAACAACCAGATTGATGTCCATTCACACTTGAAAAACAAAAAAAGACACTCAAAATTGGAAATCCCAGGATCCATGACTGTATGCCATAAATCAGATCTTCTTATCTGTCTGATCTTTATTTTTCACAAATTTTGAAAAAAATTCAACCAAAATCACAATTAAAATCATCATCATCTCAGATGCAAGGTACAACTTCCCATATTGAGGATTTCCCCTGGGATAAGATTGACTTTTTCCAGTTTCCTGAATAGTCGTAAGTTTCAACAAGAATTATTTGAACAAGAAAACCCAAGGAATGTCTAATATCATGTTAGGAGCCTGGAAAGATCCTGTTGAGGTTTGTGTCAACAATTACAACATTGAAAGCCGCAACTCTGGTCCTGTCCCAAAAAGAATCTTCTCCAACACCTACCTCACAAAGTTGACCTAGGACTGGCCCCAATCTTGCACAGTCACACCTTGGCATACGGACAGGGCTAGCGTAAAAACAGCCCTGCTATGGGCCAGCTCTCAGAAGCACGGTAAGCATGGAAACGTGACCCATTGAGGGGAGCACTTTTCAAGTATGTAAACCAAAAGGAAAAACAAGTTTTGATATACCTAGGCAAGGATGAAACACAAGTTTTTATTTAAGTAGACAAGGATAAAAGACAATCCCATAAGAGGAAACAAGAAAATGAGTAACCCACTATTCATCCTCTTTGTGGCCATTGACTTTAACTTGTGCTTTTCTTGATTGTACCATTGAGCAATCTTGTTGATGATGATACCTCACAAATAAACCCAGACCAAGCATTCATGTCACAAAGGTCAAAATTTTACCTAGAATATGCGCTGAATCTAACTGATTCAGAGAATTTTCAACACCTATAATTTGGTAAAAATGCACTGCACAATTCTGATTATTTTCAACACCAACATGAATAAAATTTGAGGACAAAATCTGACTTTTCTAGACACAAAACTAAAAATAAAAGATGTCCTGCTTTGTATTATTTTACACTCAAAGATCAATTTGAAAAAATTCATTGTATACAATAAATACAATTAAAACAATCATCAAGACAAAAAAATCAAAAGGAAAGATTAAATGCATAAAAACAAATTCGAAATCAAAAAAAAAACCTTCTTCTTTGAATCAAAGAATAATTATGTAACAAATTTATAAACATAAAACCCGAAAGAGAGACTGAGAGAGAAAAAACACTCAAATTACCCAAGAATGAGATCCAGAAGAAGAAGAAGCAAACAAAGCGGGGGGTTATACACTTGTGGTTTGGTGTGGTTGGGTTTGTGGTTGGGTTTCTTGTTGTTGATCAAGCCAAGGTCTACTACCAACTCCTTTACCAATCATAACTGTACCTCTTTTACCAAATTCACCAACTTGACTTAAGTGTTGATTTTGATGTTGAGATTGGTTTTGGTTTTGGTTTTGCTGAGCCATATAAAGTTGTGAGTTCAATTGAATTTTTCTATAGAGAAATCAAAAGAAAACCAAGATTCAGCATTCATGGAAATCATTAAAACTTAATAGGAAGAAGCTTACCTTGAAAGTTTAAGTTGTTTGGCCACTTTGTATCTATGATATGCAAAACTTATGATTCCTAAACCAACAATCACAACTAAGATTATTGAACCAATTAAGATACCTAATTGTTTTGGTTTAGAATGATATGCATGTTGTCTATCAAATCCAAAATGTGAAGAACCAAGTTTTATTTTCAAACGAAAAGTCAGTTTATGCTCAACTGTTTAATTCAAAGGGGAAAAACAATTACTCTTCTCCTTTGGTTGGTTTCGTAAATGGTGGTGGTGGTGATGCAGCTATGATAACGTGTGAAGCATTTTTTGATACACTAGATGAATTTGTACTTGATTTTACTGATGTTGAGTTGACCCTTTGAGGGTTTCTGAGCCGGTTTGCTTGCTGTAGTGATGTCGCTGGTGCTTGAGCTCCAATTCCAGATGGATCACGGGAAGGCCTTGAAGATGATGATGATGACTCTAGTGGAGATGAGGTAGTTGTCGATGACGACCCCACTGGAGATGAGCTTCTGGTTGATGACGCTTCCGGAGACGAGGAAGTTGCCTCTGAGGATCCTGCTGGAGACGAGCTTGTTGTCGTTGATGAACCCTCTGTAGATGAGGTTGTGGTTGATGATGACCCCACTGGAGACGATGAAGTTGACTCTGAGGCTCCTGCTGGAGACGAGTTAGTTGAAGACGATGATTCCAATGGGAGCGAGGAATTTGAACTCGTTGTGGTCGTTATTGTTGATCCCAATGGGGATGTCGTATTTGACGTCGTGATTGTTGTCTTTGTTGATCCCAATGGAGATGAGGTAGTTGAAGACCTTGTGCTTGTAGCTGTAGACGATGAATCTGCAGCATCGAAAACAGTTGACGAAGAAGTAGAATCGGGAAGAAAGATCGATTCAGAAGGTGAAGGTGAGCTTTCTAAAGTAGAGGTTGGAGATGATGAAGATGCTGATCGAGTATCCAGAACAGGTCTTGATAGTGATTCTGATGAAGAGCTATCAGGAAGCTCAAAGTCTGATGACGGTGGGCTATCAGGAAGCTGAAAGTCTGATGACGATGAGCTATCAGGAAAAGAGCCTATTGCGGATGAACTATCAGGAGGAGAGCTTGAGGATGATAAACTATCAGGAAGAGAGCTTGAGGATGATGAACTATTGGGAAGAGAGCTTGAGGATGATGAACTACTGGGAAGAGAGCTTGAGGATGATGAACTATCAGGAAGAGAGCTTGAGGATGAAGAGCTGTCACCAAGAGAGGTTGAGGACGATGTCTTATCAGGAAGAGAACTTGAAGATGGTGAACTATCAGGCAAAGATCTTGAGGGTGATGATTGCAGATCAACGGGACGAAATGATATTGATGACACAGGTGAAGAGGAAGGAGTCTCAGGAAGAAGGTTGTTTGATGACGACGAATCCTCAAGAATGTTGCTAGATAATGTTGACGGATCCGTCGAAGAAGTTGATGGATCAGGTTCTATAGAGTTTGTAAGACTAGAATTGGAACTAGACGAATGAAGATTAGGATGAATTGATGATGAGCCGATAAGTGAATCATCATCTACTGATTCTTCTGAACTTGTTGTTATATCGCGATTTGGAATATCAAAAGTTGAACCAGTTTGACTTTGTATTGGCAATGATGAAGAATGTTTACTGCGAGGTTGTGAGCTCTTTTAAAAAAAACAAAAGATAAACAAAAAAGATCAGTTAAATTTTTTATAATCAGAAATATTTTTCTTTCTTCAAACTTGAAAGATCAAAATGTTTAAACTTACCCAAGATGTTGGAGAAATGAAGTGTTTTTTTGCAAGAACTAAAATTGAGTGAGAATTAAAGAGAAAATATACAAAAATCTTCCACTGAAAAGGTGAACGCATTAAGAGAAGAAATCTTCAAGAAGAGAAGAAAAATGTTTTGCAAGAAATGGTTTCGTTACATAAGTTCAATGGAATAGAAGATAGAAAGTTAGGGTCATCATTCCGTTTTATGCAGAATGGTTTTCCATTGGCTTCCTACAAGAAGAACACACAAAGAAATTCGAATGGGATATTTGGAAATGGTGATTGGTTAGGTTGGAATGGGATTTGTGATCACATCAAACAAAGGTGAGTGAAGAAAAGTGAATGAGAACTCGAAAGTTTCGAAATGAATGACTTGAAGATGAAAGTTTGATCGTCTCATCAACCGAACTTCGATCGATATCAATCTTTTACAAAAGAACTATGCATGAAGAAATTAATTTCAACTTCGGTAGTTGTTTCTCAGCATTCTAGTCTCACCCACTTCTTAACATTCTTAACTACCAGACAACCACTTCAAACAAATCATTTAGATTTGTATCAACTTCTCTTTTAAATAACCATTTATCATCATCAATTTCACCTGGTATATGATGGTTTCAAATCATCAATCAGATCAATTATCTTCTCAACTTGATCGCCAAAGTAGAGTATCACCTTTCTCCTTGATAGAAATTTTCTCCACTCTGATGATCAGCTTTTGTTCTTTAGTGTGAAAGGTTTGCAATTTGTTGTGTTTGTTTCACACTCTACTACATGCCCTTGGCTTGTGTGTACAAAATAGAGAGTCAAGCAAAAATTCAGAGACGAGAAATGAGGAATAAAAATAGTAGTCGAACATCGAAGAAAGTCAAAAGAAGTGGAAAGAAGGTATGTATCGATGTGAAACTTGAAAGTCATACATGAACAACCTCACGATCTAGTCCACATTCACCGGACGAACCTTGGTTTTTGAACGAGAATCTGGTTTCAAGCTGATGATCACCTGTGTTTGAAACGTGGGCTGGCATTCACGGAGCTACCTTGCCTTGTTTGAGTAGAAGATGGGTAGATCTACACCTTGACCAAGTTGACGCATACATGCACACAAGGATTGGATTTGAAAGGTCATCAATATTGATTTCGCCAACTGGTTGAGTTAAAAAAGCATTGAAAGACTCTTTCATTCGTCTAGCAGGATACAGACGAGGGAGACATCTCAGACTCAAGCTGCCTTTGTTTGAGAGCTCGGCTCATCTTAAAAGCTTGAAATTCAAAAAAAAATTGATACGATAAGTAACATACATCCGAGACCACTCTCAAAGGGCTCTTTATCTTTTTACATATTCTTCATAGGCCAATAGGCGGTGAGGAAGGAGTGGAGTCTTGTCCCAGTCATTTATCATGCTTTGCAATCCATACATCCTGAAAGTGAAAAGAAATCGACTGATTCAGTTAATTTTGAATATTTTGAAATCGGATGATGAATGGAACTGACCGATATTGAGAGGAATATTATGAGCATTAAAAGCGCAATTATAGGGTACACCTCTAGGATTTATACACGCTGAAGAGGATTCGAATTCATAGTTTTGAAAAACAAACAGAACAATTCTTTAACAAGAGAGCTGTTCTATCAAGTTATAAAATCATTCAAGAGGTTCAAAATACTGACTGCGATACTGCTTAGTCAGGTCACTGTGTATCCATTCAGTTTGAACACAGTCTTGAGTACTAAAGCCTTTATCGCGCGATCCTACGAGCTGACATTCAGTCATTCGAATGTAATTATGACCTAAGATGAAGTTTATAAATCAAATTCCAGCTTGTGATCAGTCCTATTGGACATTCAAAAAAACATGATTGGATTCTTGACTGCTTACCTTGACACCAGCAAGATTTAGCAGCGCAGTCATACGTATGGCCATCGGCAGCCGTACATCCTATGAATGTGGGCGATCAAAAAAGCGGTCTGAATTAGCCATGAGTGTAGGTTATGCTGATTAAGGTGCTAGAGGGATGATGATTTTGATGACCTCGCATACATACCTGCTCTACCATTTCCAGTTAATGCCAGCTTATGAATACAGTCCCGGACCGGTGCGGGCTCATCGCCTAACACGTCATGAATCATTAGGGAAAAGAGTACAAGGGAAATCTTAAGAAAGCCGAGGAGCATTGTGATAATATTAAGAGAGGAAGAATAATGTTGATGGATGTCTTTCAACTTGCGAAAATCTAATATGAATAAGAGTTTACCGAGAGGAACGCATTGCAAAGGAGGCTAATAAGACTCCAGTTCTTATACAACATTCCTCTTGCTCTCAACGGAGAGGGAGCAGGAGGTAGCGCTCAATCAAAACGGTCTCCAGAGAAGACGGTGGATACAAAAGCCGTATGATCAGGATTTGAATGATGAGGGTAGTTGCCAATGGTCACGATGGCACTCAAGTATATAAAGGCACTTGCAAGTCTGAGAAGAACAATTATAACATACGTATAAATGATGCTACCGGACGCGCATTTGGTATTCTCTTATACGGCAACAGCATGGCCAGGAGGAGCCTAACGACCTCTACAGAGCTTTCTTTATGCATTGCTTAAAGTACCTCCTAAGTCCCATGTCTTCAGTCATAACAACCGTATCAGTCTTCTTCTGAGACTAACACGCTCTGAAACTTTCCTGAGACTAACAAAAAAGTAGAGCGAATGGTGGCTTTTGGTGAACTGGTCATACAGGCTGGGTTTTCTTGTGTTTCTGAGAAATCATCGTGTCTGCTCGTTCTGACGCTCGCAACACTGACTTTCACAACGTCACGTGTTGAATGAGGGTATTTTGCATTGTGAAATAAGTGCCAAGCTTGCAGTCCGGAAAGGTATTTTGACAGTCTCTTGACAGATATAATGTGGGCTGATTTGCCGTCTTCAGTTCTTCCGACTGAAAGGCAGAAATCATAAATGATGACTAGTGATGCCAGTAAAAAAGGCAATTTTCTATTGTTTTTGTAAAATTTCAAAAACGTCTGGACCACACTATTGTAGCTGTGTAATGTATTGGGCTTCCAACCTTGTAAAAGGTGAGACTATAACATTGTCAATGTTAGTGAGCAGGATCCCAATAAGAGTACTTTAATGTTAAGAGCTTCTGCTAGTGGAATTCTTGTGTTGGCACCAATGTGGGGAAGTTCAATATGAGAAGGGAAATAGGTATAATTTCTGGATGCAGCACAATACATACTATGTTGAGGGAATGGGAGGGAAACCATAAGGTAATAAAACAGTAGATGATATTCAAATATTGCAATCACTAAATATTTGTTGATATGGATTTCACATCTTTCTTGGCTTGGGAAACCCTAAAGGTTTTATATTGCTTGTAAGAATTGACATAATGCTGCATACACATATCATTGCATAATCACTATTTGCAAAGTGACATGTTACCATAAAGTGATACATTTACCCCAGAAAATACAATGAAAATATCAAAGTCAGCAATCATGATTTTCTTGTGATTTGAATATCTAGATGTTACTATTGAGGTCCAGGATTATTAGATACAACCATCAAGACATCAAGGTTAGTATCTGTCATTAGGCCTTCTCCAAATAAAAGATAGTCAACAATCAATTCTTGTTCAAAGAGAAAAAGAACACTGCAACCATCTTGAAATCATCCCAAGTTGGTTTAAACTTTTTGGCATTTACAAAAGAGTTTACTAAAGGTAAATGAGGCTTTTGTTTACGTGTTGGGTAGAATAGACATTTATAGGTCAAAGAGAACATTCATTGTTTATACATAATGGTGTCTATTGGGCTAGTTTGGAAGAATAGAAATATAGAAACCACTTGTCTCTGGTAAAAAGGTTCAACCATTCTCTTTGCTCATACCTTATCTGCCATTGTTCTACAAATTTTATCCACTGGCACTGCTAAGATTTCTAAAGAATGATTCTTAGGTATGCAGAAAGGTATTACCTCATTTATATCATTGTCTCTTAAGATATGATGAGGTATTCCTTGATCAAGACCCTGTCAAAAGCTGTCTAGGACGGCCTGAAATATGGGAAGCTCGTAAGCTTTGGTGAGAGTCATCTCCTAAGCAGGGGTATTCATCCCACGACAAAAGACAGTAGTTGGCAAATTTGCTGGCTGTGTGAAAGGCAGTTGGGAGGTAGCTGTGAAAAGCAGGTTGGGGGTTAGCAAGTCAAGGTTGCAGGGCTATAGTGAGGATACCAGTGATATCCCTCATTACTAACCATCTCACTTGCTTCTTAGACCTGAAAGCAGTAGAATCCAAAGCACTTGTAGGCTTAAGTTCAAACAAATGTCTGCTATTACAAAATGCATCAACTCAAAAAATAAAAACAGAGTAGAGCAATAATAAGAAACAAAACATAATTTATTTTGGAAAGGTATAAGAGACAGCTGGGGGACAGTTATGCAAGCTCTTATGAATACATTGAGCTAGGAAGGATGACCTCTGAGGAGTTATGTACATGATTTAAGTATGACAAGACAAGTCTGACCAAGGATATGTGAAGGTATTAGTTCTATGTTGTACATAGTCAAAGTCAAAGTGGTCATGGTAGTGGTTGAAGTGAAGTGGTGTTTTTTCAAAGGGTGAAATACATGGATTGAATCAAATTCGATTTGGTTTTGGTTTTGCAAAATATTGGAATCATTTTTTCATTTTTTTTTCATTCATTCATCCATTCAACCAATCAATCAACAGAAACGCTTTATAACGATATAAACCAGAAACAATAAACGAGATCAAAAACAAAAGAGATAGAAAAACACACAATCACACACACACACACAAAGAATTTAAGAGAATCTGGATAATGCTTTGTTTCAAAAGAAAAACAAACAAACCGAAATACAAAATGCAAAATAAAAGTTTTCTAATTCCTTTGATTGAAAAAAAAACCTTTTTAAATTTATTATTTAAATCATATCAATTCTACTCACTCACAAAAACGAAACCAAACCAAATCCTCCAACCCAAATCCAAAACCAAAAAAAACAATCACCCAACCCAACCCAACCCGCCCCGTCCCGTCCCCCCAAAACTTCCAAAGCTCAAAAAACCTTAAATCTCATCAATCGGAATCGTAAAATTCGTAACCTGAGGTAAATAAGCCGAAGAAGCCAATTCCAAACACCAAACCTGATCAAAGACTTGACGACCATCAAACCCCCCAATAACGATCAATCTCGAATCATGAAGTGTAGTAGTATGATAGCCAATCCGAGGAGGTGCTTGACCTTTAACCGTTCTAGGTTCCCATTGTAATGTAACTGTAAAAAACACACACCAAAAGTTAGTGATTCGGAGGATAGAAGAATCGAATGGATTCAGTGGGTTTACCTAGGTTGAATAATTTCACTTCTGAGGTATAGTCTTCCCCATCATGACCTCCGATGATGAATAAGTAAGATCCAACTTGAGTTGATGTATGTGCTAATCTTGGCATAGGTAAATCTACATCGACTTGAATCCAAGTAAGATTTTCTAAACAAAAAACAACAACATCACATTAGTTTTTCTTGACTTCATTCAATCTTTTTTTGGAGAAAGTGAGAATCAAAAACACACCTAAATCCAAAATATGAATATCACTAAAACATTCCCCACCATCACTTCCACCAAAGATCACACACTTACTACCTACCAGATTAGCACTATGATATCCTCTGTTTAAAGGAGATTGACCTTTGATACCTAATTCTCTCCATTCTAATTGGTTCAGATCGGTTAGATCGAGTGCATGAACATCATTCAACGCTCTCGATCCGTTTCCTCCACCAAAGATGATCAATTGGTTTCCATAGAGAACAGTAGCATGAGCTCTTCGGGTCGATGGTCTGGTTCCTTCTATTCTAGGTTTAGTCCAGACTAATGAAACTAGAATGAAACAAAAAGAAAAGGTGAGCTATGAGGTTTGGTTCAGAGGATTTGGAAACAGATCGCTTACCTGTGTCTAGGTAATAGAGATCATCAAAGTAATTAGGTCCATCACCACCACCAAAGATAAAGATCCGACCGTCTAGATGGGTAGCCGAATGAGCCCTACAAGGAGGAGGAAGATGGTCTTTCGGATTAGGTTTCATAAACGAATGAGGTGGATTAGATCGATGATGAGATCCATTTAATTTAAGATCATCTAATGAATGATGATGATGAGTATTGTTATTACTGCTATTATTGGAATCTTCATCAAACCCTCTACACTTTAATTTATTGAAACTTAAGGTTTCTAAATCTAATTTCCAAACATCTTTAAAACATCCTACTAAATCTGTTCCTCCAAAGATCCATATCGAATCATTCACAAGTGTAGATGTATGAGCTCTTAATGGTTTAATTAATTTAGTTCCATGGATCGATGCTTTTGACCAATACATACATGAAGCAGGTGAAAGTTCGACAGTAGCGTTAGGTAAGCTTGGTAATGATTTTGATGTGGAAGTGGTAGTGTTAGGTATGGTTTGAGGCGTAAGAGTTGGAAGACGTGCTTGACGTGGTTTGGGATGTTCATATGGAGTGGCTAGAGTGAAACCATCTGTTGAACTGATCCTTGGTCTACCTAGATTGATTTGATCTGATTCTTTAAATGAAGCTTGAGTTTGAGTAGTTGAAGGTCTTTTGAGATTAGATCGATTGAATGAAGCTTTAGAGATTTGATGACTTGAAGATGGTTTGATAGTTTGATTTGATTGTAGTTTTGGATCGATTGGATTTAAATTGATATTAGAGATTCTTGGAATACTTTGATGATGATGATGTTGTTGTTGTTGATGTTCTAATGTTAAGTTTGAAGTTGAAGATGATAAGTTGTTCTGAAATAGTTTACCATTTCTTGTTTCTTGTTGATTTTGTAAACTTGACATTGGATCTGATTGGTTCTTTCTTTCTTTCTTGTTCTTGATGGTTTGCTTCTTAGTAGTTTTATCAGTTCAATCTCTCAATCTCACATCAACACTCACTTTGCTCAACCTTCACTCAGGCCCGCCTAAGCCTGAGAATGCATCTGAGTGCATGCTCGTCACAGATGCATGCCCGACAATGCTATCGAGCACGCTGCGGCAATCGACGCAGATCGGATCGGGTCCTCTGTCACGGTACCTTGAAAGCATCGAGATCAGCAACGTGGAGATCGGGCTTGCTGAGCTCTCTGGTTCGCTCGTACTCCTTTTTATCCTCAATTTTGAGCCAAGCCGACAAGCAAAATGTGAACTGAATGAACCTACAAGATTCACATACAAACGACTATAAGACGTGCATGAGGATCATCGGAGCTTGAACGACCTCATGGAGGATGTGATCTGATTGATGAAACAGCTTTGTGTTGTGGTATTCCACACTTTCCCTCCTGGCAAGTCAACTCGAACGTATCAAAAATAGACGCGCTTCACCTCAGTACGATGGCTATGATTGATCATTCCTCAACCTCATGATGCGATGTTCCTGACAAGGGTTTAAATCGGTGGATACGCGGTCATGAGCCTTGTTCGCGACTTCAGAACGTAATTGCCTGCCATTAGGAAATCGCGATGTTTGGAGAACATCATCATCGGGATCCTATCTGTTCGATTCCAAATCATTGCATCCTGGAATCCCGATTGTTCTTCATGATATCTATTTGTTGCCTGATCAAATTTACCGCACCATCAACTCCTGAAATTAATTGTGATATTATTCGAGACTTTGTATCTCCCACCCTCATTATGGGTGATCCAACTATCATGTAATGGGAACTTACAAGGATCTGTATGTTTTATCAATTACAAGCCACTGGTTTGCATCAAATCAAAACCCTTGTCAATTCTTTGAGACTAAAATGTCTGCTTTGAATCACAAGGAAGCTACTGTCCTGTTCATAGAGATCGAGCAAAGACTAAAAGCAAAAGCTTTGGAGTTGAATATGTAGCCATACTATTACAAGGATCTGTTTTGTTCATCAATCAGAAGCCACTTGTTCACATCAAATCGTAACCCTTGTCAACTCTTTGAGACTAAGATGTCTGCTTTGGATTGCGAAGAGGTTACTACTCTGTTCATGGAGATCGAGCAAAGACCAAAAGCAATATGACTTGAATGGACGTATTGATAATAAAGACTGAGTGAATGCCCACTATTGCGATGAAGCCATCTCACCTGCACAGCTATCAGGAGAAATGTGAAATCAGAAGTTGACAAGAAAAGTAAGTCTTTCTTTCTCTCTGAGAGCTGTAGCTTACACTCGCGTTCACCAGTATCAACACAATCAATCTGGAACAACCTGGACGCATGTTGATCTTCATTATAAGCTTCAGGGTGCCGTAGTAATTAAAAAATCACACTTTTGCAAAAGGTCATCTCTCTATGTTGTGCTTTTCATATATTTGAGAAGTTATCTGGTATTTGAGTTTTCTTGTGTGTCTCAATTGCATGTAGCCCGCAAGCGATTTCGCTGAGCCTGTCAATCTATAGACACGAGGACTTAACTGAACTTGTTTGATTTATTCAAGATGATAAATTACAGAGCTTCCAAGCACAATCAAACCGCTTGGAAAGACGTCATAAGCAGACATACCATCCTTTTTCCATAGTGAGTAGATCCAGAGACCAAAAGTAGAGGTTTTTGCGTCTGATCGTCGTCACGAGTTGAAAGGACATAGTGACAATAAACACCAATTAAGGGGTCAATGTCACAAAGGAAATCATCTCATCTGTATGGTAATCCTGGAGGATAGGTGATCTGAAGCAGACAAGACTTGTAGCACAAGACTGTGTCTCTTGGAAATATGAGGGACTTTGTCCCATATTCACTGTTATCCGAACAGTCATTCGGTTTATTAGTGGTATGTGCTGTGAAACAACTTGAATACATGGTTATCGTCATGAAATACTTCACGCTGTTGTATTACTATCAATTGAAAAATTGCATCTGTAAATAACATTACCACTCTATGCCATACTTTTGTACTTTCAGATATATAAAAGGTTGTTATGCTGGAGCGGTTGTACCAATGAGAGAATAAAAGCAAATGGACGTTGAGTATTTGATATCTATACGCATCTAAAGATAGATTGATAGGCATTCCTTCACCACCAGGATCTTTGGCGTAGAGATCTTGCTTGTCCATAATTGAACAAGCAAGGATAGAAAGATCTGCAATTTGAGCCGATTGTATGACAATAAAAGCAATGATACATATGGAGAAGATAACTTGAATCTGAAAGAAACCGCCTCGGAAAACTTCTTCTTTTAAATTGATCAGGTCAAAGAAGGATGAATATATGATGACTTGTTATTGAAATGACACATGAGAAGATTCAGTCAAAAATTCAAGGATATTATCAATTCAAGGACAAGGGGAAGGTAGAAAGACACACATTGGTTGTTACATATTCATCCAATTGTTTGGTGGCTTTGATCAACTTGAATGGTTCTGGATATTCTCGCAGGCGTGGTTGAAATTACGTTTGAAGGAAGAATGGATGTTGTGCGTCTATAGAATCTGGAAATCTTGAGAGGCTTGTTTTGGGAGCGACAAGCAGAAAGCCAGGATACGAATTTTATGCAACCAGAGAAGAAAGGAAATAGAAAAGTGAAGGAGACAGCCGAGAAAATAAGATCGGAAACAGGAACCTTCAACAAAGGAGCATCTGAAAGAAACTCGAAGTGGCCGAACTTGAACAAAACGAACTGAAGAGATCAAAACATTGTAAAATACAACGGAATTCCTATCATTCATCAATACAAATTGATCTTTTAAATTGAGCAGAAGTCTTATCGGATATCAGAAAAGGTGATCAAGCTGAAAAGTGTCAAGGGTTGAGATGGATTGAAGAATTGTTCATCAGAAGTTAAGGATGAAGAATGTGAATTTGTATAAATCTAAACAAGCAGAATACTCTGGGCAACACTCGCGATGATAATCAGTTCAGTCGGCAAAATAAGGTTTTGAGATACATACAGTGAACAAACAAATATGAAACAATTGGACTTTGTTGAGCAAGTCCCGTGATCACAAAAAAACAGAAGTGACCGCGGCAAGTGTTCCCAAAATACAGGATTTTTAGCTGATCAGAATCTCCTTCAAAGCTGATCGCCCAATCATAAAATTTGTTGACTTCATTTCTTTGGATACAGAACCAACCTTTCTCACTACCACCACTTCCAACCACATTCCATCCGATTCATTCATATCATCTCAACCATACATTAACAGTAACTTGAATAACGCGATCACCTTCTTGTTTTCACCTCAACCAACCCTTACTAGTGATTTCAAATCACCGTATTTCTCTCGGCTTTTATTCCTCTCTGAATCACTAGTCTCTTTTACGATGGAATATCTCCCGTCTCCGCTTTCTGGTGACGCGTATAGTCCTCGTTATCATAAGACTTTCAACACCTCCATTCCCGAGGTTATCAGGCAACAGATTCGGACCAAGTGCTCAAAACGTTCATCTGCCAGGTCATACCCAGAGTATGTCTTATATTTCTTTGATCTTGATCCACTTCATTCATGGCTGACTTTATGGTTTATCCTGTTCTCATCACATAGTCGCAAGTTTCGATCCTTGGGCAAACTCCTTCTCGCAAGACATCCTCATTTCAAGTACAAACTCTTGAAACCTGGGAATTGCGCTGGTCTTGGACCTTCCTCGACTACCGTAACTCTCGCTCCTAGGGTCGCAGGATATCACCCTGTTACTATGTTCTCTCCTCAAACCCGACTCGTCATCGAACGCGCGAAATATGTTGCACCCGGCTTGAGTTCTCTACTGATCCCACTAGAAGATCTTTCTCCAGAAAAAATAACTCAAATTGAAGAACTCAATCCTCGTATCAAAAGGAAAATCGGAAAGGAATTTCAAGAGATTCTCGGGATCGAAATGACACCATTGTCGAACAAGACTATATTTCGATTATTAATTCAATTCTTCAGATTTTGGGTTCAAGATCATCGCTGTAGTACTCAATCGAGGTATGTCATCTTTTATTTTCAATTCATGGAGTGTTGCTTTGTATAGTTCTGACTCTTTATTTTTCAATTTGTCAATGTTCTAGGGACTTCATCCGAGAATATCTGCATGATTCAGATGTCCTCTCATTAATGGAGGAATTCGATCTTTAGATCATATCTTCATTCACTCAATCACATCTCAATTGGACCCCCTCAATCGACTGCTTCTCTTCTTGTTTGTTTTGTTAAGATTTCGGGTATTACTTCATCATGTCTCATTATATATCTATATCATCTACTTCACATACTCTCCCTTTCTTTATTCTTGCAGGATCCTTCCATCCTTGCTTCTCCACTTATGGAAGAGCAAGATGTCTACTCCATATCTCCTGGTGGTGAAGGAATGCACCAGGATTATAGATGTTTACTCAATCTATCTCCAGATAATGATATCAACTGCTTTATATACACTCCTTGTATTCAAAATCATACCTTTATGTAAAACAGCTTCCATCTTCTTTCGACTGCCCTTCACTTATGAATACCTGTATTGGAATTTTCTTATCCATTTTGGGTCATCTTTATCAAAGATTTGTTACGGTATCATAAGTGTCTCTCATTAGTTTGGATATAAATGTTCATACTTGAGTCTCGACAACCTTGTATGTTAAATGGTTTTCCGAGTTAAGCTTTGTCTGGTTAGGATTCTCCAAGCAATAAACTGGCCCAAGTAAACCCCTATATGAGAAGTTCATTGCCAATAGTGGATGTGTTCTTCCGCGCCCAGATGCATATTCATTCCAAGCGCAAATAACACGCTGAGAAGCTATAACCAACCGTGTATCCAAATGAATATGGGTCAATCTCCAAAGTTTTTGGTTGCATATTGAAATTATTGTGCATTTCAATAATTGTGAGTTCTCCTTCACCATCCATTCGGATCCATTGAAATCTGTTCACTGTTTGGTAGTGTTATAAATTTTCTTTCTTTCCATTTTGTTTAAGTAGTTTATTTGGTCTTTTATTTCCTTAAGTGTTTTCTTCATTACTTTTATCATTTCAGCTTTTTATTTATTTTTGTCTCATTCATTAAATCATCTTAAATCTACTACACAGGAGTTTACTTGATCTTTAGACCATATGCCCTATAACTTAATTCTTGTTCGAACTAGCTACAGTGCGTGTGTGGGGGGGGCCGGTAGGCCGCAGGTCCGCTGACCGGGTAGGCTCTCTGCGTGGTAGGGTGTCGGGGTGGGTGGGAGGTAAAGGAAAATTTTTGAAAATACGAGTTTGTAAGATTACCTCTAGGTTCTTTTCTTCTAGGAGAGAAAAGGGAGGGGGGGATGATGATGAGATGGAAAATTTTTGACTTCGAGGGAGAATTTCCAATTCATAATCCCTCGAAGTCTTGTGTGGGAAAATTCTCCCGTAGGCCCGGTACCGATGTTCCCGGGCTATCTACCTCATTGTTCATCCCCAATTTCAATGGAACTATCCCGATGCCGTTGTGCCTTTGGGCATCTGGAACATTCAACGGATCAAATGATGATATCTTCCGTCAGTCACCTACTATTCATATCTTTCTCGTTTTGTTTTAACAAAATGGGTAGCAAAATTTGATTCTTGCAGTAGCCCCCAATGGCCATACACTACGTTTTTTGGATTGCAGTGGACTTTTTGGTGTTTCTGCTCCATCAACTATGCAGGACAAAGATGCAGTACAAAAGTGGTCCTCAAATACAAACTTTGGTATATCATGACACGTGCAATTTGCACGTAGGATCCAAAGCAGAAAATTGATTCTAAATGTAATGCAACAAGTCAATGGATGTCTGATTATATTTTGCAGATGTGGAGCCCTACAATCTTTTACGCCTTTTGCCATCATATTTACTTGGAGAGACTTGGTGATAGAACCAATCGATGATTGAGCAGATCAAATTGATATTTCTAGTAGTAAGGTCTTGAAGAAAGATAACGGTCAAGTAAGACAAAGAAGGTACTTAACACTTGTCTCACACTGCAGACAACAAAAAGAAGTGCAAAAAAATGATAAGCAGAAGTGTATTGAGACATTTTCCAATGAATGCTTATCCTGGGTTTCCTATTCAGACTCTCTATATACAAATGGATTTAAATAACAAGGATGACAAGAAGGACACGGGGTGTTGAACTTGTACTACCAATTCAAGAATGCTGTGATCAATTTGTAAGGTAGATGTAGGAATACCATGTCGACGTGTGCTTGGGGATAGCTTGGTCAAGGGTCAGCAAGAATAAGCATTTCAAGCTGAGCATTCTTGAAAGGCATTCATTTGATTTCAACTCACCTTGGATTTGCAATCTGAGTTTGGAAAAATGCAGTCGGATCATGAGTTGTGCTGCATCAGATAGAGCGGTACACAACAGCCAACCAGCAACGCAGCCACAGTTCCTATACTAGTATAGTAACGGCGATACCCGGTAAAGTATCGAACCCACAATACTGCTTCCAAGATACTTAAGTAAAGTACCGCCAATCCGATACCGTTACCCGATACGGTATCGAATTTCAAGATACTATGGCAGACCAAGTCAAGTAAAGTACCGCCAATACTAGAACGATACCGGTACTGTATCGGGTATCAACAATTTAGTCGATACTGTCACGATACCAATACTGATACCGGTATCAGTGCACAAATCACATAACAAAAAAGTATCGTTTCAGTTGAGTGGGGATGAAAAGAACAAACAAAGTAAAAAAAGTCGTGTATTTAAATATAGAAAGGAAAAAACCACCAGTGTGTTGAGAGAAGAGATGAAAAATACAAAGACAAAGAAATCAAAATCAAAAATCGGTACTCTTTTAATTTTGTTTAACCCCTCCTCTTACAATTTACTTTGTCCAATTCCATACTTTCTGTCATACATTTTTGACAATCTAAAAACTCATCACCTGCTATGACAACCCCATCCTTTGACCACATTCGAGATCCTACCGAGCGCTCCACAGTTGAAGGTTTCAAAGCTCCTCGATCACAGCAACAGACATCTGCAGCAGCTGAGAAAGTCCTCTCAACTGCACATGATGCCCCACAGACTGCTAGATAATCTCTGGCCAGAGACGACAGCACTGGGTATCTTGCTTCATTCACCTAGTAAAAAGATTTTGTAAATAATTAAAGTTGTGGTCACAGAATGAAAGGAAATAAATGTGAAGTTATATTTACCTTCCACCATTCTAACGCAAGATGTGGGTCCTTTTCAACTGAGGTGGAAGGTTCATCAACACGCTTGAGGTAGTTGCAAAGTTCATTCTCAGAGCGGGTCTGCACTTTCTTTCGATGTGCTCAAAATCCATCATCGTCCTCGTCCTCGTTGTTTGAATCAGTCTCACCAGCCAAATTGTTTTTACCAGTATCTAATTTGGTTTTTCGAGTCTCAAAGGCAGTCTGTAAAAGTGATTGAGCAGTCTTGTGTTCATCAGAGTTATCCCCAAATGTGAATTGAAAATAATCGGTTCGCCAGCTGGGGTGAAGGATGGTGGCGAGAATCAAGACATCTGACTTGAGTGCTTCAGCTAGGTATGATTTAACCCAAACATGCATCGCGTGGTACATCGGGAAAAGAGGGTCGGCTCGGGAAGTACATGAATCAATCTTATCTTGAAGCGATTTGATAAGTTTGACGTATTGAGGAATAACTAGAGATCCAGTTGGAGCATCGGCCTCAAAGACCTTTGTCAATGTTTGATATTCCTGAATAAAAGCAAAGGCCAAGCACAATAAATCAGTATTCTATTCTGATACTTAGAATTGATACAGAGACAAGAACGTGTATGGAAATCAAGCATATGGAAAGGAAACAATGCTTACACGAAGGACCTTGATCAATCTACCCACTTGTTTCCATTGTTCAGGCGAGATCTAAGCTTTGTTGAATAGACCACGAGGTTGATCTTGATTTGGATCGCTAGGTCCAAGCTTGGTGTTTTGACGTTTGCTGCTCTTGCCTTTGGTGATCTCTTCTGATTGTCTTTAAGCATTCTATCAATGACCTGCAATGGATAAAGCAGAAGTGAAAGTGAGCTAATTTGGAGAAGTAGAAGGAGAGAAGCCAAAATACAGACCTCTTGGGCATCAAACAACCTTTCCCAACATTGAAGCTTGATGTTCCATCGAATTCCGTAACCAGGAATTGGTTGAGGGAAAGATAAGTCCATACTTTTGCAGGTTGCATCAAAGACTTGCAACATTCGCGATGATCCTCCTATCTTCTTAGCAATTTCATTAAGCTGAGAAATAATTCATTAGAAATGCTGTAAAGGACAGATGTGAATAAAGGGAATATACATACCACAAGTGTCAAAAGATATACTGAATTGGCCTCGGTACAATCGGGTGCAGGCTGAGCGGGAGGAGCTTTGTCAGCCCTTGAGCTTTTGCAGAGCGAAAGCCAGAAGAGCTTCAAATAAAAATAAAATATTATAAAAATAAGATCACCTTGCGTCTAGTTTCAAAGACGAAAACATAACATTGTTATTTACATCTCAAATAAAAACACAACTTGCGTCTAAGTTTCAAAGACGAAAACATGAAAACTTATCATTAGTGATATATGGATAAATAACAACGCACGACTAAGCTTCAAAGACGAAAACAATAGATATGTTATTACCTTCAAATATAAAAGATAAGTGACAGATTATTAGTAAACAGAACGACAAACTATTTATTAGCATAAAGGAGAAAGCCACGATTTACAAAAAGGGAACTACTCAACTAATTCATCACACCTTACAAGCAAAACCGCGGAAACAAGAATTGCCCAAGGAGAACTTAAGTCCCTTGTCCGGATGCGTCCAAACCACAAATTGGCCTACGACAACTGAATAGAAATCAGTTAGAACCACATGTTCAATGTAAGATGAGCAGGAGTAGTCATAGGGAACCACAAGTTAGCCATCCAAATAAGATAACTATATATATGAGAGTCTCTTCCTGAATGTGGAAAAGACTCACCTTCTTTTTTTATACAAACTCCAGATTAAGAAAGCGTCAAATAGAAATTTACTATCTTAGTACTATCAAAGGAACCTCCGAATTAGTTCTCTAAGAATTTAGGAAACAAAAGACTTCGTAAGCAAAAACTCTTACTTAATTCTTTTCTCCTTTCTTTAGACACTCTTC